CTAATTTGAAAAGCAAAAAGCCAGCAGTCTAGAGAGCTCAGATTATATGTTTCTCCACCTCTGCATTTCTAACAGAATTGTTTCCAACTACAAGGGACCTCTGTATTCAGAGAACCTGAGATACAGGGCATTTATTGTGTTTAGTTATTGGTTAGGCACATGATTGGCCTATGCTGTATTCAGGCCCTTGTTATAGGTTGTATTACAACAAGATTCCACTGTCCCTGTGTCAGGAAATCTTAAACACTGGCATGTTGCAAAGCTTCCTTGCTCTACCAGGGTAGCTGCCCTCTCCCAGCAGCTGAAACTCAGGAGCACAAGATTGTTTTATACCCATCATTGGACGACTTATCCCCATCTTCTTGGAGCCATCTGACTAGTTGCTCCACCTTCAGAGATTTCTGTGTTTTTCAGGTTTCCCATAAGTCAAGGTGCCTACTGTGATGCCCTCCCAGCCTCCCACTGTGCTGCTTATTCTAGATTGGTTTGCATTGAGTGGAGTGCTTGGCAGTCTTCTCGCAGAAGGGCCTGTCTCTCTGAACATAAAACCCATCCGTGCTTTTGAGATGCGGTGCAGCTACAAAATGTAGTGCTCTATCTTGATTTTTAGTGTATCTTTCTGTCCTATCAAGTGAACAGAGGATGAACAAACTCTAACCAGATTCAGAGGTTATTGTCAGCACATTGAGGATATTGCTCTGCACTACAGCCATTTCTCAAACTGCATGTGCACCCCATGCTCCAGTTTGCACTTAGGCAATTATTTCAAACTCTATCTTTCTTGAGGTAGAGTAGCCTGCTCCCTGTACCTGCTTATTGATGTCATTTGCACAAGGTCTGAATGGGCAGCAGCTGTGGTATGGACTCCACTCATGAGGAAGGGAAGTTGGAGCAAGCGGAATGGGACCCTGAGATGGCTGCCCTGACCCTCAAAAGAGCATCCTTCACTGACAGAGTGGATAGCACTGAAGCAAAGCTTCAGTTACTAGGCATTCCTGTGTGAGGTTAACTTGTGAAGATCATATGACACAGAATTGTATATCCAAAAACTGCCTCAGATGTCATCTAGTTGGATCCCCTCAATTTATGAATGAGAAGACTAGGCTCCAGAAAACATACTGCATGTACTACACATTCAGAAGAAGAGACTTGGTCTCTCAACTTCTTGTTCTGTGCCCTTTTCCCTGAACCACATTGCCTCCTTAATGGTCACCTGCAGTGGTGGTAAGAGAGAACAGAGCCCAAACTTCCCTTCCTTTTCAGAGTCACTGAATTCCCAGCTGAGAAATGTCTCTAGGTCCTTGCAGTTATTGACAAACGAAAGAAGTGGAGTCTTTCAGTGTCAGGATAGGCTAATGTACTCAGAGCCCTCCACGGATTCTAAGATCAGGAAAGTGTTTTCTGGGTTATATATTCCTGCCTCTCTTCTTATCCTTAGGCCTCTTTCCTGGGGTATTTGGCCTGTCTTTCTGAGAGCTTTTGTTCCTGGTCTCTCATATCTCAAAATTCCTCCACCATCTCTCTGTCAACCAAATGTCATCATATGGGACTGATTTAATAATCTATTTTTTTTTCTTTTTTTTTTGAGATAGAGTCTCACTCTGTTGCCTGGACTAGAATGCCATGGCATCAGCCTAGCTCACAGAAACCTCAAACTCCTGGGCTCAAGTGATTCTCCTGGTTCAGCCTCCCGAGTAACTGGGACTACAGGCATGCGCCACCTTGCCGGGCTGATTTTTTCTATGTATGTTTTCAGTTGGCCAATTAATTTCTTTCTATTTTTAGTAGAGACGGGGTCTCACTCTTGCTCAGGCTGGTCTCAAACTCCTGAGCTCAAATGATCCGCCCGCCTCAGCCTCCCAGAGTGCTAAGATTACAGCTGTGAGCCACCACGCCCGGCCTAATAATCTATTTTTAAAAATTAGCCTTAGCATTTGAGTTCCCTATTGCTGCGTAGCAAATTACCCCAAAACTTAGTTGCTTAGGAGAATAAATATGTATTACCTAACAGCTTCTATGGGCCAGCAATCCATAGGCTGTCTTCCTGGGTCCCTCAGCTCAGTATCTCTCACACAGCTGCAATCAAGGTGTTATCCAAAGCCACTCACCTCGGTCACCTCAAGGCTCAGCAATTCACATGGTCGTTGGCAGGATTCAGACTCTTGTGTTTTGTTCAGTGCTGGCTGATGGCTAGAAGCTACCCCTCAGCTCCTTGCAACAGGCTGGCTCCTGAGATGGCAGCTGGCTTCACCAGAGAGAGCAAGAGTATGTGCACAAGACAGAGTCAGAGTCTTTTATAACCTAACCTCGGAAGGGACATCCAATTTGTCTAATTTATTAGAAGCAAGTCCTAAGGCCCAGCCCACATTCAAGGGAAGGAGATCACACCAGGATGTGCAAACCAGGGGAGGGATCACGAGGGGCCATCTCAAAGGTCTGGCTACATTTAGTTACCCAGTTAAAGTATTGCACATAAAGATTTGCTGGTGCCTGATAGATTTATTACTCCCTGGAGATTATTGCCCACTCTGGCTACTTTCCCACTTTCTGTTACAGAAGAAAAAAGGTCAGAAACTTGATGCACTTCATTGTCATTTAACAGGCATTTAAGAATTTACCTGTGCTAGGCACTTTGGTGCAGAAGATGAAATTTAAGAAGTGAGATAGTGCTGTGACAGGGAAGGACAGGGTTCTCTGGAGCACCTCAGAAAGACCTCATCTCATCCTAGAGGAGGTGACAGCAAGGCCGATACCCAGAGGACCTGTAAGAGCCAGTGAGATAACACAGGAGAAAGTAATGCCCCTGGCTGGGAGAACAGCAAGTGGAGCCCTGACAGCAGGAGAGAGCACAATCCTTTCAACAGATCGAAAGAGGCTTTGCCAGACCTTTGGTTTTTTTGTCGGAAGCACCCAGTAGCAGATTTAGTTGACATCCCTTGCCTAATGTAGACCTCATCCAAGATCAGCTTCAGTCTCTAGGCTTCTGAACTCTCAGCCTCAGGCCTGGCTAAGGCATATGCATATTGGTGGGCTATAACTTGTGTCTCTGAACCACCCAGGATGCCAAATTGGTATACTCTGCCCAAACCAGAATTTGCAAAGATGCCCTGACAGCTCTGTCCCAGCGTGATTTTAATTCTGTGTGATCCCAAAGCCAAGGGCTGGGGTAGGAGACCCAAGCTTTCCCTCCATGTTTTCTTCTAAGTAACTTGTAGTTTCAGCTCTTACATTTAGGTTGTTGATCCATTTTGAGTTATTTGTTCATGTTATTTAATGATGTCTTTGAAGAGCAAAGTTTTTAATTTTGATGAAAGCCAGTTTACCAGTTTTTTCTCTTACATATCATAGATTTGGAGTCATAGTTAAGAGATCTTTGCCTAACCTAAGGTCACAAATTTTTTCTTATGCTTTTTTTGAGAAGTTTTATAGTTTTAGCTCTTAGCGTTGCTATGATCTATTTTGAGTTAGTTTTTATATACAACATGGCATAAGAGTCTAAATTCATACTTATTTGTATCATAGAAAGATCTCAAAAAGTATGCTGAGTGATGATAAAAGTAAATTGCAAAATGATATGTTCAGTATAATATCATTCATGCAAAATTTAAAAGCATGAAATATATATTATTCTTAGTTATATATGTATACTTAGATAAACAGTTTCCTACCAAAATCTTTGATAACAATTGCCTCTGAATAGATAAAAGGAAGGAACAGAACAGGAAAGAATTGGTGATCAAAGAGATCTTCAGATTTATCTGTAACAATTTGGTTGAAATAAAATTGACACAATATTGATAATTAGCAATTTCGAGTGGGTTATTAGTTTTCTGTATTTTTAAAATTTCTCAAATTAAAATACACACAAATGATTCCAAGTAAAAACCACAGAGAACAATCCGTTTCTTTTCTGTTCAGTTCAGTGCCCATGCGGCTGAAGCGCTGAGGTGAGCCTTATGCGTTCAGCCTGTGTGACTACTTGGGGCAGATTCTGTTTGTATGTGGGGGTTCTGATCTAGATTCCCAGAATGGTAACTATCTTCATTTGAACTTATTCTCACACTTTGGCTTATATTTTCTCAGTTTTGCTTCTACAGAAAACCCCAGTCTACCTGCCACACTCAGTTTCCCTTGCTTTGAGGGGAGCAGCAGATCCCAGATGTCAGTGAGCTGCCCTGAACAAGTTTTCTTCTTTTATTTATTTTATCCCATTGTTCCAAGCTTTCTCTAAAACTATACCAAGGCCTTCACAAGGAAAGTTTGGTTTCTACTTAACATATGTTCATTCTCACCTCGTGCCCATGAGGTGGCCCACGGAAAACCTCACTCTGTGTGTTCAGCAGGTACAGTGTGCCCGGCCTTGATGCCCCACTCTTGGGAAGCAGCCTGCAAAGTCCCGACACACACACTTGGGAGCACATTCCAGGTGGCTTGGGAGCTGTGGCTTACAGAGCACGTTTCACTGCCCTGGAGTCATAGCAGTTATTCCCGTGTCTCCCACAGGCAAGCTGTGCTGCCTGACCCATTGCTCTCTTTTCATCCTTGTTTTTCTTCTATAAAATGGATATAAAAATATATGCTCTTTGTACCCATGGGTTGTTGGGAGACCATATGAGAATGTGTATATGAATGTGTTTGCAAACAAACATGAAAGATGTTTGTATGTTATTTCTCTGCTGTGCGAGCCACCCGCTCCCAGATCTCCAACCCAACCACTCTGCTCAGTCTGCCCGACAGTCCTCCTGTGTTAGCCTCTTCTTTCCCTCCCATTCTTGGTCTATTCCGTGCTGTTCTGTCCCCCCCACTCCGCCCCTTCCTTTTTTCTCTTTTCTTCCTCTCTCCAGTCCTGAAGGCAGCCTGACCTCCTTTCAAACATGATCATGTACCACTGAACTGAGGCCTGTCGGCTGGCTCAGACTGACTGAGAAAAAGGACTTTCACCCTTCCTCAAAGAGGTCAGATACCTGAGAGAACATGTTTTATCTCTTTGAATCTCCCAGGCTCAAGCCGCAGGGTCCCCACGTACATCTCCCACTCACGGAGGTGGCCGTCCGATGCCTATGCCGGTGCGCTCGACGTCGGCCGGCTCCACGCCCACCCACTGTCCACAGGATGCGCTGAGCGGAGTTGGGGGAGACGTGCAGGAGGCCTTTGCGCAAGGTGAGTTTCTGGATCAGAGTACAGTGGCAGCTGAGGGGGCCTGGAAACATGTGCAAGGTTCCTGCTGAGATTTTTCTAGTTTCTTTTGGGCTCTTAGATTTAAATGATCAGATTCTCACAGACAGTATAAATAAGTCAAGTGCTGGCCCCTTCTCATAGATGGGCTGGTCTTCAATGGGAGGTCTGAGGGCTTTGTGTATGTGGCAAGAACAGGCCTCCTGGGGTCCTGTGCTCTTTTTTCTAGGTTGCGGGAAGCACCTTGGCCTTAGGCTTTGCCTCCTCCAGAGGAATTGGATGGAATAATTCCCAAAGTCATGTATTTGGCATAGAAGTTCTTTAGAACAAGCATAAGAAGAAAGGGTGGTACTCCAACTAGGACCTTGCTGACAGCATAGTGAGCGTGGAATTGCCACAGCCATCTGAGGAGCTAGTGACCAGCAATGCTAAGTCACTGAGTAGGGGTTAAGAATGACGTCTTGTTGGGATTGGGGACAAGAAGGTGGGAGGTGTGCTGGAGAGGAAAGTCCCACCTGAGGCTGAGGAACACCTCAGGGGCAATGCCTGTTCTGGAACCCAACTCTTTTCATTGTATGGTTGCTACAAAGCACAGAGTTGACAGATCCTGCTCTTCAGGCCATGAGGCAGAGGGAGAGAACACAGTGGACTTAAGTGCCTCGTGTTCCTGATGTGCCTAGGGGCAGGTGGAGCTGCCTCACCCCCTGAGGTCCACAGGCCTGGCAGAACTGAGGCATTTGCTGGGCCATCTCTCCTCCATGCCCACCTACCCCGGCATCGCCATCTGCTCTGACTCCCCTCAGGTACGAGGAGGAACCTCCGCAATGACCTGCTGGTGGCTGCTGACTCCATCACCAACACCATGTCATCCCTGGTGAAGGAGCTCCATTCAGGTGAAACCCAGAGCTCCCGCCCAGTCTCCCCTTCAGCACCCGCATCCTTCTCCCTTCCTCCCTACACTGGCAGAGCCTCACCACCTGGCACACCCCCTCCTCTCACCACTCAGCTGTTGCCTTCCAGGAGCACAGTGGACATCTCCACCTCAGAGCCCTTCCCACACAGGATTGCATAGAGACGATGATGCATTCAGGCTTGTCTTAAGAATTCCCTTATGGAGCAAACGCAATGCTGAATTTAAAGAAATCCAGCCCTTTAAGCGCAGTTAGTCCCCGCACATACTCTGTCCTCCATCTGTGCTTTGTCCACAGCCACTCTCTCCCCAGGCCTGACTGCTCGGCTCCTTCTGAAGCTTTCTCGGAGGTCTGGAACTGAATCAGCCACAAAAGCTTCAGGACTTTTTCCCAGCTGCCTTTCTGCTCTCTCCTATCTGATTTGGTTTTGAAACCCTATTCCTTCCTTTTGTCCGTGACCAGGCTCAGATTTCACTCGAAGTCCGTGACCCAAGTCTGTTGCCTCTGCTGCGCCTCATGTTCGGTCTCACCTGTGACTTCTTTCTCAGCCTCTCCATCACTCATCCACTTCAGAGACTTCCCAGAGACCTTCACCCCATGGCATGTCACCTTACATAAAACCTAGGAAAGAGAGAGAAAATAAAAGACCATTCACATATCTTCATATCTCCAAAAATCCCTGTGACTCCATCAATTACGTAGCTGCCAGATATTTACTAATTATTTTACAGTGGGGGGATTTCCATGTTATGTATTAAACAAATGGCTTCCCTTCCTAAGTGCTATAGTGCTTTTAAATACCTTGAAGTAGCTTAACAGGGTTATTACGTAAAAATATAAATAAATAGCTTATAAATAGCTTTTCCATTGAGCATTTAAACACATACACTTATTCTAACACTCTTAGAGAAGGTTAGCCTTGGGTGTTTTTTCAGACCTTTGTAGGAGAAAGCACATGCCTTTAGGGTTGTCATGGGACCAGACTAAGGTCTGGCCCACAGCTTGGCTCTCGAGACTGCGTAAGAGAATGAGTGTGTGAACTAAGTTGGTCTTTCCAGTTAAGGTAGATGCTGATTCTCTTGCACAGGCAGCTTTATGGTGCCACTTCTCCAATCTGGTAGTTTCTCAACCCCCAACAGAAACACAGCCTCTGCCCCATACACATAAACAGAAAAGGTCATAGCCTTTGAGGATGACTTCACAGGTGATTAGAAGGTCCCTTCCCCATAGCTCCCTACTGATGCCAGAAATCTCACATTGAAGGAATTTCTTAGGGGATTTCTGGCCATGGAAATTAACTACACTTGTACCTCATGGCCACTTATTAGGGTTTATGCAAAAATAAGTGGCTCATGAGCTCAAGCCACAGGAGGCTGAGAGGTAACTGGACATCATTAAACATAAACACATAGAGACCAAACAGCTTCACAAAAATTAAAAGTTTATAGGGATATTCAGCAATCTGTCACAGTAGGAAAGGATTATTTTAACAAAATTATGGAGTGTAATTTGGAAGGTATCTTAGAGATCACATTGTCCAGTCCCCTTAACTTTAGAAATGTAGTGAGTAATTATCAGAAAAGTGATCTGCCTAAAGTCGTGCAGCTTGAAGGGGCAAGGCTGGTCCTAGAACTTACGTCTTCAGAACAGTAAGCCAATGTTTTACCCAACCTAGGACAAGATGTCAAACCCAGAGTCCCACAGGGGCCTCTTCCCCTGATGCTCTACTCTCCCAAGCACTGAATGCACACATGGATTCAGTAGGATCCAAACATGGCACAGTATCCCTATAAAATGCAGAAATAAACTCCTTTTACATGTGAGAGTGACCATTTCTCAGTGAATGGAAGAGCCTTGCCCAACACTCACACCTTTTTACTATCTTCCTGAGGGTATTAATAATTTTATAGGTTTTTTGTTAGGATGAGAGTAGATATTCAGATTATCTTTACATATATTCTCTATAGTATACACATACTGTGTGTATCCATAGTTTGTCCTTCTTGTCTTTTAAAAAATATTTTCACAAATAACAGAATCCTAGAATTAAAAGTGTCTTAGAAGTCATCCATCCAACCTGCCACCCAATATAAAAGTCCTTTGAGTATTTCCAGTGAGCTCATCCATGATCAGCTCTAATCACTGGAAAGTTCATCCTTAATTGAGAGCCAAAACCTGTCTTTCTGTAACTGATTTATCCTTGTTCCCCCCTTGAAAGCTACCCAGAATAAGTTCAGTCCCTTCTCTGGAGGTTAGCCTTTCAAGTGTTTGATGGCAGATGACATGGCTCTTCCAATGTCTTATCTTCTTTAGGCTCCTATACTGAATTCCTTTAGCCATTCTGAATGTGACATGATTTTCACTTTACCATCCTGCTTGACCACACAGGATGTTTGGGGCCAGTTTTCCAAGCCCCCAATTCAAAGTGAGTGCCCAGGGCTGAGCACACTGCTGTCTATCACAGGGGATCTCATCCATGCAATGCCTGGGCCATCTGTGGCCCCTTATGTGAGCCCCTGGGAAAGCACCTTAGATGGCATTAGCTTTTCCTACACAGCCGCTTTGCACTGTGCAGTCATTTAAGTTTGTCATCAGCTATAACCTCTGGATTTTTTTTTTCAGAAACCTTACTTTCAGACCCTCAGCTTTCAGACCCTCACAGTTCCTTCTACCTGCTTCTCCCATATCTGACAGTCAAGTCTTACACTACATGTCAGTCAGTCAACAAAAGCTTCCTGATTTCCTGATACTGTGATAGCTGGTTAGGATACAGGAAGTAGATACACTGAAACACAAAACATGACCCCTTGCCTTAAGGAGTTTATAATCTAGTTAGGAGAGCAACACTAAGATATGCAAAATAAACGAGATAAAATGACAGAAAAAGTTAATCATAAAACTTTGAGTGTTTAATATAATAAGGGTTAATCTAGGTATTCCCCCACTGTGCACTTTTATGGTTGCTTTCTTGAACCTGAATACAAGATATTAGATGTATCCCTGGTAGATGTCATCACCTTAGGGAAAACAGGGATAGAATAAAGGCAAGCACTCCCACACCCCCACCGTGGTCACCTGAGCCAGCAGCAATGGGCTCAGGGCTTATGGGCTTCTATTCAACAGTGCTGGGGTGTGGACCACATAAGTACAGACTGGGTGAGTTTGAGCACCCTTGGAGGCCTGCAGCCACAAACCTTTAGATAGGGTTTCATCTCAAGCCTTAGAAGTTGCCCTCCTTTTGTGCTTGTGCTGTGCTGAAGGGTCACTGGCCTCCTTGAACTTGTTTTCACAGCAGAGGAAGGTGCAGAGGAAGAAGAAGAGAAGATGCAAAATGGGAAAGAGAGAGGTAAAGGCAGCTCAGCAGTAGCCCTAGTTTGAATGGGGAGCAGAGCTTTGTAGCCCAGATGGAACCCCCTTTTATTTCTGCATTCCTTCCCATTGCTACCTTTCCCAAAGCTTTCAGACCCTCACAGTTCCTTCTACCTGCTTCTCCCATATCTGACAGTCAAGTCTTACACTACAAGTGGTAATGTCAGTCAATCAACAAAAGCTTCCTGATTTCCTGATACTGTGATAGCTGGTTAGGATACAGGAAGTAGATACACTGAAACACAAAACATGACCCCTTGCCTTAAGGAGTTTATAATCTAGTTAGGAGAGCAACACTAAGATATGCAAAATAAATGAGATAAAATGACAGAAAAAGTTAATCGTAAAACTTTGAGTGTTTAATATAATGAGGGTTTCTGAAAAGGAAGAGATTATTGTGATCTAGAATAGCCAGATAGTTTTATGGTTTCATTGAAGAATGAAAGATGTTAGCAAAGGACAACCTAATTTCATTTTACATAAAACTTTTTAATACTTGTCACATGGGAAGAGCAATGAATGATGTTCATGTAGGATCCCATCTAATCCTTAACACTGTGAGATAGAGAAGAATATTCCCATTTTACTGAAGAGGAAACAGGCTCAGAGAGATTTCATTCATGTAGCTATTATAAGGCAGAAATTGGGCTTAAACTGGGTCTTTCTGACTCCAAACTTTATGCTCTTAATCTTCATCCTTCTGTGTTATACTGAACAGATAACAAAATTCTCTTTGGACGCTTGAGAGTTAGCTATTATTTCTATCATTAATGTGTCTGCTGCTGGATTCCTTCATGGTGTAAAGTCCCCAAGTTGGAGATTTCAGTCTGTTTTGTTCATGTTATATTCCCAGTGCCCAGAACAATACCTGGCACTTAGTAGGCTGTCAGTAAATCAACAAATGGAAGGAAGTAAGCAGGGTCACGTGATAGAGAGCTCCCTATCAGAGAGTATGGAGTTGTCACCCTAAGGAGGTGAAGGAGAGGAGGGGGGGGGCACAAGCCCTTACAGGTGCCTGCCTAATGCTGAATACATAACACACCCTCCTTGTCTGATTTCATAGCCCCCTGAGGGAAGAACTCAAGATGCAGCTTAGAGGGGTGAAATCACCTGCCAGGTAACAAATGGCAGATCCTAGAGTTGGCCCAGGTATCCCTAGCTCCAACACCCATGCGTTAGTCTAAGCAGAATTAGTAGGCTAAGTGGAGTGGAAAGGTCATAAGGAAGGGAGAAAGTTGATTGGGAGATGCAGGTGACAATGCTGTGATGGAAAGAGAAGGCCCTTGGGTCTGTACTGTTGCTGGCCCAGAGTGGCTAGTGTGGATAACAGAGGGAGGTCTTTGGAGTCTCAGGGGGCAAGGAATTTGTTGGCAAGGGGCACTGAAACCGCTGAGGAAGACACCAGGAGAAGAGGAAAAGCATCCTGCAGGTGCTGAACTCATGTAGCGCATCAGAGCCAGGCCTGGGGAAGGTAGACAGCAGCTGTGATGAACTGATGAGAATGACATACTTGGCATTGGTGTCAGAAGGTAAAACTGGAGAGCAGCAGTGTATCAGACATCCAGAAATGCTGCATAGAAATGTAAAGATGACTGATGCCCCCATGCAGACAGGAAAGAAGGCAGAAGGGCATGAGGTAAAGAGGAGACACACAGAGATAAATTTACACTGTTACACACATGCTCTGAACACACACACAAGTGCACTCCAACCAAATCCCAGCATTCATGTGGAATGTTCTGGCTGAAGACATAACAATGGCTTCTTTGGCCTCCTCTCTCATGCACCCTCCCTTCCCCAGTAACTTTGCCCATGGCCTCTTCTAAGTCTCTCTCTACTACCCCAAAGCAAACCTAGGACTCTGCCTGTCACTTAGGCCTTAGCCCTGGCCCTAGTCTGAAAGTGGGCTGCACCTCACACATGAACTGGGTGTGGTTTCCCCTGCCAGGCACCTCCTGACCTCAGGGGTTCACCTAATTTGCCTGTCAGCATCTCTTCTCTGTCTGTGCATCTTGCCCGTGGATCTCCTTCTCTCTCTCAGTGCACATACCAGAATTTGTGTGTCTACATGAAATTTTTTTGTGTGATTGCCTGAATTTTTATTTATGTGGCTTTTTGGTGTCATCCCTAAAGGCAAGAATGTGGTGAGAGATAGTAGAGTTTTTAGAAAAATGTTTGTCAACATTATATAGGTCCTAGAATATGTCCCTGGAGCTACAATGTAGCTCTTAGGTGGGTGTCGTTACAAGGCTAAGTGTCTTTATGGGTGGACCTTCTGATTCTCTGCCATGATCTAGACATGAAATTTTACTATAGACTGACCTAGTAGTAACTATAGTCATCTGGGCATTAGAGATCAATTACTATCAAGCATAAAGAGAGAGAGGGAAAGAGAATATTTGCTTCTTTGGGGTTGAAATCATGCTGATTTAATTTAAACACAACCTGGTCAGCATCCAGTCAGGCAAACATTGTCTGCTCAGTACAAAACCTGTGAGAGCCAAATGGGCACTTTTTAAGAATTCAGACCAAGCCAGACTTTCCAACCATATTCATTACTACCTCATGCCTCTCCCTGTTTTACCCTGGCTCTGTCTGGCTGCGTCCTGGGGAATGCTTCTGCTCCATTGGGGAACCCTTCCTCACCCTGAGTGTAAGCAGGACTCCACAGTTGAAGGGTAGACTAACACAACTTAACCCTCAGAGCCCTAAAGTCATCTCAGCTACCCTAGAGCCTCATTTCTGCTCCTGTGTCCTTCAGAATCTCCTCTCCCAGGACCTGCCCATCCCCAGTGTTGGGAGCTGTAAATGCAGTTTGCACACTTACAGAACCCTGGTGCGTGTCTGCACAGCAGTGCTCCTCTGTAAGAATAGACACAGGCTCTTGAGGGTCCAGTGTTGAGATTCCAGGGTGAGCTACAGCATGACTTGGCATACCACAGCAGACATGTCTGCAGGAGGGAAAGACTGTCCCAGTCAAAGGCTCCCTCATTTTCACTTGGTTAACTTTCAGAACCAGATGACCTTTGCCCTCCAAGGTAACTGCTCCCTCAGTTTAAGAGGGGTTTGTTTCCGCTTCATTATTGTTATACCATTTTCCTTCTCTTTCTCCATCTCTGTCCCCCTGGCTGCTTTATGGCAGTTGTAGATAGTATGACCCTACCCCATTATCATACCTGGTCGGGAAAAGTCAACATTCGAGTAACAAAGGGGAGAGGCAGGTCCAGAAGTCCCTGGGGTGGGTGGGTCAGGAAAGCCCCCTATGGGAAGGTCCAGGCGGTGAGAAGACCCTGGGTGTGACCTCAGTGTGTTGTTTCTGCCCGTGCTGCCACAGGTTAGCCGAGGAGCCCAGACAAAGAGGAAGCTTGGGTGAGTACACAGCGTGTCCCCGCCCTTCCCCAGCCCTGTCCCTTCTTACTTAGCATCTTCATTTCCTCATCAGTCATGATTCCCAAGCCAGGGCAATCTGAACAGGGGGAGATGCAATTAGGATTCTCTTCACAGAGTCCACTGCACCTTCCCCTCTGCCCCAGCCCTGCCAGCCTGCCTGCCTTGCCCTGCTTCTGAGCCGGGGCCATTCTGCCCTGCACTGCCTGTGGCATGGCCTAGTGTTCCCTATGTTAGTGTGGCATAGGCAGACCTGACACTGCTGGCTGAGACAGGCCCTAGTGGCTGTGCATGGCCACCTTCTGGGCTGCTTTATCTCCTGTGCTCCTCTCCCTCAGCCAGCGCACCTCTGGATTCTATCACCCAGTGCTGCACCCTGTCCTAGTCCCTGGCCCACAGATGCATTTGAGCCATGCAGGATCACAGTGACTACAAAGCTGACCCCTGGGCATGGGGCCTAGCCAAGCACCTTCTCATTCCTAAAGAACAAGTGAATAAAAGTGCACATTGCCTTTAGGAATTAGTCATTCCCATTTTTCCATCTCAAGACTAACTCTTTCCAGTCCCAGGTCCAAGACACTACAATTTCTGGGTCAGCTCCCTAAAAAGAAGGGACAAAAGTAACTGGATGATCAGTTAGTTTATGACATTTCCTTTAAGTATAGATTCCTTTGGTGCAGCCATGAGGCTTCTTTTCATTTTTACCTTTTCTTCCTTTCCCTCCTCCACTTCTTATTTTTAAAAAATTAGGCAGTTCTTCGGGGTGAAAAAAAACAAAACCAGAGCCACAGCCCCACTATCCAGAAAAGGAACTTTCTCAGAACTTTCCAAGTAGTGTCATCCCAGAACAGTCTCCAGGCCTCCCCTCTACTTGCTCCCAACCCAACCTTCCTGCAGTCGCAGCTTGTGCTGACTTGGGATTGTGCAAGCTGCGGGGTGGGCAGCACCTGGGCAACACGCAGTCCCTGGAAATCACAGAGCCTCGGGGGCTTGGAGAGAAGCTTCTCCCTAAACTCACTGTGCACATTCAGGCAAGGCCCCTCCCCACGGCAAGCCTAGGCTGCTGCAGCCAACTAGGGAGATCAAGAACTGACTCGCTCTGGGGAGCCCCTCTCTCGCCCTGGGGCAGAGAGGAGCTGGGGTGGAAGGGAAGGTGTCAGAGCCATCTGGCCTACCCACCCCCTAACCTAAGGCCCATATTCGGGAGCTTGGTGCCAGGACTGGAATCAGCCGGGTCTTCTACCTCCTAATTCTGTCCTCTGACCCACAGTCAGGCGTTATGAGAAACCAACACTCAAGAGTCACATGAAAAGCATAAGAACTCAGATGCCTCAGTTTCATGGACTTTCCATTCTGCTCTCTGCTGGCCTGAGGCTAAGTAAGGCTTCCTTCTGGTCCTCTTTGCCCTTCTCCTGGGCCACAATTATTCTTCCCAAGAAACCACCACATTACAAACTTTGCATTTCAAACACCATTCTGTTCATTCTTCACATTTCCTGACCCAGTGACCCAAACAATGACTGCAAAAGACCATAAGTACCATGGGGAAGAAAACCCACACACTTGAAAGGTGCTGAGCATCCTAGCAGCCCCATTGTTGCAGATCCTCTCATTCGCAGCAGATGTTTAGAGGCGTTTGTCCTGAACCCTCAGCAGTGCCCGTGACTAACATGAGTCTGTCTTGCACAGGCACAGAGGACGAGGAACAAGCTGGCACCAACCTGATGAAGGCAAGGTCTTCCCCCAGAGGCACATTCCTATCCATCCTTCCACTGCACACCTGGACCAGGCTTGCAGGCTGCCAGACGTCACTCCACCCGCCAGGGAGAAGGGAGCCAGAGCAGTGGGAAGGTGGGGGACTGCGAAGCGCAGCTGGTGGGCCTTCCCCTATAGCCCTGCATGTACCAGCATCTCCATCACTCCCCTCAGGGCATGGTCTCACTTGTGCATCAGGAGCTTACCAGGAGGTTGAAAAGAGAAAAGAAAAATTACTATGCTCTTGTGTGTTTGTGACCTGATGGATCTCTTCCTGGCGTCTGGCCAGCATGTGGGGTGCGCCCTAGCATGGGGGAACGTTTGCTCCTTACCTTTGACCTTTAAAAACCAACAGGTTTCTTCTATTGTGCAAAGAAGCGTCAAGCCTTGCTCAGTTCTATAGACATTCACACCCTGGCCACAGTGCTAAAAATAGCCACAGACTGGTTAGGCTTCCGCCCGCCCGCTCGCTCAGGGGATGCAGCCGCTGCTCTGCAGCCTGGGAGGGAGGGGCAGCCGGCGGCTTCCTCTGCGGGAGGGGACTGGGGGGGTGCGGAGCTGGGCGGCCAGGCCGGGCACGCCACCTTTGGCCGCCAGGGGGCGCTGCTCTCGCTGCTTCTCCCCAGGGGTTCCGTTTGGCTCGGGCACACGTGATCATCGAGTCCGATTCCCAGTGATTTTCATTTATTTTTTTCTCATCCCTAGGCTCCAGGATGTTATTTTTAGTGGAAGAACTGCTATAAATATTTATAAAGGGCAGTGACTGGAATGAAGCGAGAGGCCCTACAGCTGGCTCTCTAGCACCCCCCACCCACCTCTGCCGACCCCTGCCTCGGCTTGGAGGAGGCCTGTGCAGAGCCTGTGCGCGTGCCCTGGGTGGGGGTGCAGTCCCTTTGAGACCTGGGAAAGCAGCGGTGGGGTGAAGCGAGGGGTGGAGCTAAGTCTTCCCACCCTTTCCTCTCCACCTGTCTCTTCACCCTTTTACTCCCATTCTTAAAGGAGGTCAAGGCCAATGGTGTGACTGTGCTCGTGCCCTGTGGGGCCCTAGGCCCTCAGCGTCCTAAGTGCTAGGTGTGAGGGGCAGGGGCAGGTGCAGCTTGGATGGCTCCAACAGTGTGAGGGCAAGAAGGAAAACTGGAGGTGAGCTGGCTCAGGTGTGGAGGACACTTACCCTCGAGCCTCGGGAGAAAGCCCTGCTCTGCTCGAGCCTGCCCCAGCGCGCACTGTGAGCAGGCAGTGAGCTGAGGCCCTGGAGCGCCAGCGGGAACTCCCACACACTCAGGAGACAGGGATCCCTGCTTGCCTGGGGGGCTGGGGGTGAAGGATGAGTGTGACCATATGGAAAGTTCTGGGGACACAGATGATATCCCCAGATGGTGAGGTCAGGTATGGGGTTACAACAGGACTTGGAGGTGACACTGTTGTACACTGTCCCCTGAGGAGAAGGCAGAGTCCCATCTCTCCATTCCTCACATGAGCTTCTTGCCTCTTCCAGAGCAGAAAGAGCCAAAGGACAGACTGAAAGCACCAGGGGCTCCTAAGCAGCTGAGTTCTTGGGCCAGCTGAGGTGCTCCAGGCATGTGGGCAGTGGGCCCCATGTCCGCCCTGCAGCCTGGGTTCAGCGGGTGCTCTTGCTCTCTGCTTGAAGGAGGAACGTTAACTTTGCCCACAGAAAAGGTGCAGAGCCCTGGCCTATCACTGTTCACCAGCACCTGGAGGGTAGTGAGAAGAGGTTGGAGAGGGCCGCAGGGGTGGGCTCTGATGCTAGTGTTTGGGCACGTGGTGTGTTCCGTTGTTGTGTAAGTTCTTGCTGACAGTTGGTTTCTTTTAGAGCTAGACTATCCACTATTATCTAAGGCTTCTGAAGTGTCTCATGACTTGTTGGCATCTGCTTTAGGACACAGATGTTTGAAGGTGGGTTCTTTTCCTCAACCCTGACCTGCAATGCAGGTGGACACTTCCTTCTTAATTGCTCTGTGGTCATTTAGGAGCCTAATTTAACCCAGGTAGATTATTTTTTGAGAGACACATACTGATAGTGTTCCTGGTGCCTGGATGAGCCAGGCTGCCATGCAGCACCGTAGCCTGGGCTGGTGCTATCTGTAGCATTAAAGACTTCTGGGGCGGTACCAAAGGCAACCTGGGTCCTAAGAAAGCAAAAACCATAAATCTCAGCTGTAAATCTCTTCCTCTGGGCCATAAATGTCAGCCATCCTGAGCTTCCATTTACTGTTACAGCCCCTCATCTGCTGGTCGTGTTTTATCCACTGGCAGACTCTCCTCATCTGCATTGCTTACTCCCTGCTCCTGTAGTCCATGACAGCTTCAGAAAGGTACAGTTGCTATGGCAATACCTAAAGCCATCAGAATTCCTGCTCTTCTAGAAGAAAATTGCTCATGAAGAGGCATTCAGTGGATTACAAATCTAACCTCTGCCCTCTGCAGTGTCAGGGGTCAGATGATGGGCTGCGTGGGAAGTACGTAGCCTGTCTGCCTTGGGAAGACACTCTCTGAACTGCAGACTACATGCATCTGGGCAGATCAGAAAACTAAATGTGGTGTCCTATAGTACTTGGGTTTCCTAGGTAATGCTATATCAGTGGTTCTCAAACTTAAGCATGCATATGAATTCCCTGGGGACTCGCTAAAATATGGATAGTGTGGTTATACCACGAGAGTTTCTGATTCAGTAGGTCTTGGGTGGAGCCAGGGATTTGCAGTTCTAATAAGCTCCCAGGTGATACTGGTCTGAAGACCACACTGTGAGAACCACTGTACTTCATGAAGGGGAAAAAAATCAGATCAATGCAGGAAGCCATCACCATCAGGTAGAGAAAGGCCAGAGTCAGTCATCTGTTCTAGAGGGAGAAAGGGAGGGCTCTAAATTCCCATTTCATGGCCAGAGGCCCTCGAGGACGTGTACTGGGACTAGTGAACCCTATGCTGATTTCTTTTGGTCCCCAACAATCAATAAACACCTTCCCATTCTTGAAGATAGAGCAGCACCAAGGCAAGACCCTTAAGTTGCAGAAGCCCAACATCATGGCTGCCCAGTGACTGAGTCACTGCTGAGTCTAGAGTCTCAGTGGTGAGGGAGGCTGAAGGCCTGCCTGGCTCAGCAGGGATAACAGAGGGGGGCGTGCAGACACCTAATCCCCACAGCTGGAGCTTTGACACCAAGATGCTTTCCCTAGAATGCAAATACCACCTTCCACACTAAACAATATTCAGGCCCAGATAGGCTGCTTCAGCCTACCTGAAGCTCCATCTCTCATGGTATTATCCTTCTGAGAGAGAGAGAATGATGCTGGGGAACCTAAGATGAATGCTACAGGCCTAACTAGTTATGAGTAGCAAATCCCAGGGAATCTGATGCCTTCTTTGGACACTTAACCTAGCCTGGGAAACCCAGTCTCTGTAGGTACCAGTCTTGGCATGTCTCCTGCCTCATGCACAGGTGTGTCTGCAGACAGGCAGGATGCACTGATGCCATCTCCCCACTGCCTCCTACTCCAAGGGGGACAGCTGGTGTAGGACCAGGGTATAAAAGAAATGGGCATCAAATCAGTTTACCAGTTCCAAAAGCAGTATTAGTCTGCCAGCTATGTGAGGGTTTGAATGGGTTGTGTTTTTATTTTGAAAATATAAAGTTTCTAAAGGAGTTCATGAGGAAAACTATTACAGAACTTGCTTGGCAGGGGCAGGGGAGATAATCCCCAGACAGCCACCTGTGTATTCCTGAAGTAAAAGGTAGAGATTAAGAAGGGACATGTAGGCTAGAGGTGGGACTGTCATTCATTGAAGAGGATCCTTAATGAACATCAGCTCTGTGCTGGGCACCACACTGGTCTTCAGGCCTCACTGAATCCAGGGTCTGAGAGGTTAAGGTTGAAACCTGGTCTGGGTTTATACCTGTGGAGTGAGTGGTGAGCTTAGAGGAACTAGACTGCCCTCTGACCTCATCAGACTCAGGACGTGGGTACAAAGTGAGGCCATTTGAGGGAGGAGTCTATACAAGTCACTTAGAAGTGTTGGTGCTTGGGCTCATGAATGGGAGGGGAGACTGGGTAGAATGGGATCTGAGAACCAGGGCTGTGTCCCTGTAAGCTTGTGAGTCGTGGCTGACATAGAGACTTTATATCTCCGTGACCCAGCTCACTGCTCACTATTAAGGAGCCAGTATCACTCATTCAATGACAGTCTGAGTCAGCTTCAGCCCCAGCAAGTCATCAACCAGGTAACAGGAAAACCTGTCCAAAAGTCGGCCTACAGCATTGTCACACTGCCAGTCAGAGTTGATGAGCCTGAAGTCTGTGGGGGGCTGGCAGGGCAGATGATGCCACCTGTTTTGGTAAGGGGCGCACTGCATGTTCAGGGTGCATGCATGCATGTATATGCACACACACAGACACACCCCCCACCCCCGAGGGCCCCCTAGCTTAGGCTGAAGGCACTACAGTCTTCCCTGCGGAGGACAGACATCGCTGCAGCCCAGGATGAAGCTTTAGGCTCAGCACCTGACTCTTGGAACAAGGTGGAACCTCCTCTCCACTGGGCCTAAAGGTCACCTGTACACACTGGTCTTTCATTCAGGCCTCAGCTCATGAGCTGTGATGTTTCCACCACCCTGGGCTGGTCCCAAGACCTCAGTTGCTGAGCCTCTTTCCCTCCCCACCAGAAAAGGTGTCCTGCACCTCAGACATCCGTTCCTAAGGAACACTCAGTCTGGATCCTGGGTCTGCAGCCTACACAAGCGCTCCCCAGGGCTCATCCAAGCCCCAGGCCACGTGCTTCCCCTTGGAGCAGGCCCCAAGGATCCTTCTTCTCCACCAAAGCCATGGCTGGTAGGTGTGGATGAGAAGTGTGTCCTTTGCTGGCTGAGGAGCCTGCCCTCCCTGGCCCCTTGGCCTTCCCAGTATTGCCTCTGGGGGATCCCCTGATGGGCTGATCTTTTGGAAGCAGGAAATGCCTCTGAGGCTGCTGAGAAGAAAGCCATGCGGCCAGAAGGCAGGCTCAGACAGTGCCAAGGGAGTCTGCTGGGAGCTACTGCAGAGATGGCCCTCGCTGTCTTCTGCACAGCTCCTGGGGTGGGTCAGGCTGGGAAGGGTTAGTAAGTGGGGTGAGGGTTAGTAAGAAGGTGTCCAGGCTTGGGTGGGACCCAGTACCCTCTGTGAGTTCCTTTTTTATCTCCTGACTGCTGGTTGGTGTTTGCCCTACTTTCCTCATT